CTTATTTTCAGATCTGTATCTGGCCAAATTTCTAGATACTTTAGCAAAATCATTCATTCCATGTATAATATTATAGTTTCTTAAAAAAAAAATATCGATTTTTTTTAGTATTACTAATTAGTAAAAACATAGCGCTGAAATATAAAATTAGCGAGGTATAACCTACATTTCAATAGCATGATCGTCGCTTTTTGTACACTTAAAAAAAATATTTCGCTAGTCCACAACTAGAATTCTAAATGTTATAATTAAAATATATTGGTTTTCGTATCTGCTAGAAAATTTTCTAGAGTATGTAAAATTTATAGCAACATCTAATAATATATGCAAGAAAATTTAAATTTTATAATCAAATCACAGAAAATTTAAATTTTATAATCAAATCACTTTCATAAAAAATGTAAATGGCTATTATTTGATTGGACGTCACAGAGAGATTTTCTTGTTAAATTTGACAAATTGTTTAAATTCTCTGTCGCCTATATTGATTAGATACAAGACACATGCGATATCACAACTATGTGTTAGTCATTTATCCATTTAATTAATGTTTCGTATTTAATTTCCGCTATGACTGCAAAATCATCATTTTTTTTATGTAGGAAAATATCAAGTACCTATATATAGGAATATTGTGTCACTAAATATTAGCGTTGGATTTGGGTAAACCTGCACATATATTTTTGTTATATTTTTGGTTCAATTAAAAAATACCTCTCTTGAATAAGTAATATATGCAGTGTCCAATATGCGATATATTCAATCGTAGCGCAATCGTTCAAATTGCAGCCTTAAAACAAATATTAAAGATAATTCGCTTAGTTTTTCTGACATATATCGAAAATTGATTTGCAAAAAAATTTAATATTTATTTGCGTATGCTTTCTTTATTCACCATTTTTCTATAATTGCCGCTTTCAATATCAACGTCAAGGAGCGAATGATTTGCCTGTCGCATTGTCTTGTATCTTGAACATAATTTATTGCGTAAAGATATCGCCGCTATTACCGCAGCCTGTGGCTATTATTTTTATGACGATATTTCTTCGAAAATGACGCCACTGATAGAGGAGAATGTACAGTTTCGCGTAAACTTCGGACTTTTAATCGGTAATCTCTCGCTAACTTTAATTCAATCTCTTAATATGAAGTGAATTCAATCTCTTAATATGAGTTATCAAATATACAAATTATACAAGTATACAAATTAAATATTTTTCTATAGATATTTTCTTTGACATAAGATATTTCCTTTTTCTTTCTCTATCGATACTATTTTTAAAAATTCTCGCGTTTTATTGTATTATTTATTTATAATTTATCTTAAAGTCTGTATACGGAAAGAACAATTTGCTGAGATATCTAAAATTTTGGCTAGATGTAAATAAAAATAATTTTGATGAATCGTGAAAATAATTATGTGTAACGTTCAAACTGGTTGTTAGAATATAAAAAAAAATTTGCAGTATAATCATCATGTTGAAGCGTCCTTCATAATTATTTGACAGTTCAATTTAAAATTAGTTTTAAATTTTTTAATTATTTTCAAATCTATATGTGGCCAGATTTTTAGATACTTCACCGTTCTTTTCTTGTATATAAATCTCACGATTTTTAATCTGTTTTATAACACGAAAAAAGGAGTAAAACGCAATAAGGCAGAATACGGTACGTATCCAATCGATGTTCATCGAGTTTCGAACATTCCAAACTAAACGGCTCGTCTACATTTAATTTCTCTACACGGAAAGAATGGTTTTGTTGAAGCTAAAAATTTCGCCAGATACAGATTGAAGATAACTTTGTTAGACTATCAAAATTACAACGTAGGATGTTTAAACGTAACACTACAAAAATTTTTTATATTCCAGAAAATTTGAATATTCTGCATAATTACTTGAAAAAAATTACTTTTAGATCTGTATCCAATCAAATCTTTGGATACTTCGGCAAAACTATTTTTTCTGAATAATCATTAGTCCTCATTTATTGTCATCTGGTACAAAGAGAGAAAAGGAGAGAGAGGGAGGGGGGAAGGTGTTGTTCACAGCTTCTAAAAATTCAGCTTCTCGTTGTCAAGAGCTCTTTCCCCTCGACGTCTGCCGATCTTGATGGTGGATGAACCTTGATGAACAAGCTTGGGTCCGTTGTAGGTTCCAGTACGGCCATGGCGGTAGGCGGCACTACCCTGGTGCACTGCGGAGGGCCTGGAGGGGAGGATCGTGCGGCCCACCTCGCTGCCATTCCCCCCGGGGCACTCGCGCCCTCGCTGAGCCTGAATTCCAGTCTGAATTCCAGCCTGAATTCCACCCTGGGCAGCATCGGCAGTGCACCGGCGGCCGCGGCCGATACGGCCGCCGCTGCTTGGCCGCCCACACTGTGGCAGTATCCGGCTACGGCGGCCGCAGGTGGGTAATCCATAGGATCGAGCATCATAATATTATAATTTTTTATAAGAATACTAGAGAGCGATATGCGAAACTACCCCCAATCCGGATCGGATCGAGTCGAGAGGGAAAACAAAATCTCTGGCGTATGGATGCTCGATGGGCGCTCGATATCCGGGGCATCGAAGTATTCAGATATTAATAAATTTAAAGAAGTACCCAGATATTACAAAATTTGACGTGAGATAAAAAAAAACTGCTTGAAAATTCGGACGTTCCCTACTTTCGATCGTAACGTAGTAGCGTAGTCCGCGTTAACGAAATTCTGTTGGCAATAATTGAATCGTCTATCTTGTTTTATACTCCACTATACTTGATTATTCGCCAAAGTTACGTTTAATGAAAAAGCAACGCGCGCTCCTGAGAACGCACATCCCGTATGCGGGATATTTGTCCCCCCGTAAACGCAATTCGCGCAATAATGTCCATTTTTGTCGACGTAAATGGATCGTATCAATGAACAAAGGTTCGAATTAATTAACATCTCGCGATGTATGTATATCATATGCACATCTATTGGCGCGAGGGATTAACCGGGCCACTAACGAGCGACCCTACACAATTTTGGATCGAATTCACCCCTCGCTCCCGCTGACCTCCCCGGCCCCGCTGACCGAGTGACATTTATCCAAATAACGCTGAACTACATCCCTGGTTTACAGCTCGCGCGCGTATTTTCGCGCCGTGTAAATCATTCACGCATACCCGTTTAATTTAATTCGTCGCTCGATGGATGGTTCGAAGAGACAAAAATTTCGCGTGTAAGCGTACAAGTTTCGCGAGCGAACCTCCGATTGATACTTAATTAATTAATGATATTAATAATTTTCCTTTTATCTCGAGTCCAATTGCGATAAGGACGATTGTTATGCAACACGCGAATATTTAAAGGACCCTTAACTCTTAATATTTTTACGTCGTTATTATTTAACCAAATGCAAAATCTAAAGTAGAACAATTAAAAACACGTACACGAAGTAATCAAAATTGAAAATATGCGATTTCACGAAGGGTGAGAAATTGATGTGGCTTTTACAGCGATGCCGACGGAGCCGGTCGGCTTCCCGCAGATGGGTTCTGGGCTGCAAGGTGGATTACAGTTAGTCCGCGATCCAACGACCGGGCATATTCTCCTTATTCACGCCGCGGGTAAAGCAACATTTCGTAAATGCGATTCTAAAACGTATCCCTATATAATGCCCGCGCGGCGGAGATGAATTTTACTCTCCTTCTCCCGACAGAACAAATGCAGCAGGCTCTGGTATGGCCGAATTACCCGAACCACAGCGGTAACGTTGCACCGCCGCCGCTCCTCCTGCCGCCACCTCCATCCTCGATACAGCTTCTGAGTGATATCGGCGGCGCGCGATTAGTGCTGACTGAGAACAAAAGAAAACAACAAAGCGCGCTGCCGATAGTAAAGATCGAGACGGAATGCAGCAACAGTCCAACCGCTATAATCAGTACGTAATATTACTTTTTTTTTTTTTAAATTAGAAAGGAAAAGAATTAGAGGTAAAAATACTTTTTTTTTAATAAATATAACGTAGTGATAAAAAAAAAAATAGCTTAAAAAAATTTGCTTTAGTATCATTTTTTTCGAAACTCGTTTCTATTCTTCAATGATAATAATTCGTGGCAAAGCAGTGACGCGAGCTACGAGGTAATTTTAATTCTTCCAAATTTCCGGAGAAAATGATCAAATCGAACGTGTAGCGAGTCATTCAATTGTATTTCACACGTTGCGTAATGTCGCGTTGAGACGATCCCACGATCTTCTTCCGCAGCGTCCACCGAGTCGTCGAAGACCGCCCTGCAGACGATGACGTCCATGACGGGTGCTCTGGTACCGGACGCAGCCCTGGTCACCACCCTGCATTATTACCCTCAGGCGCCGGCGCTCGTGCAAATCAGCCAGGCCGAGCCTACCACGCACTGCAGGTCGCAGGTGGGTAACATCACCTTTCACCAGGTTTAAACGGCGTACGCGGCCAGGCCGAAGCGCGGTATGCGACGCGAATTATTGCGCGACCAGCCGGCCGGCCGGTCGGCCGGCGCAATATCTATGCAGATAGCGATGCAAATCGGGTTTGCCCATGATTAATACAATGTGCCACAACGTTTCCACATTATGCGAATGGCTGGACCGCGCCCGGAGTTTGACGTAATTACCGCTGCACTCGCCCGCACCCGTCTCCCCTCTCTCCCGTTCTCGCCCGAAGGTCCGTCTTTCTCTTTTAGTTTTCCTCGTGTGAAACAAATCTAACGGTATTTATCCACGATATCTCCGGGGAATAATAACTAAATCTCGGGACTTAAAAAAAAAAAAAAAAAAAAACGTTGAGAGCGCCGTCGTACAAGAGTGCGAGATGGAAAAGGATCTTGACGCTTTTTTATCGTTTGTAATATTTTCGCGTACGTTTGCGAAATAAATTAGAGAGCATTGATGTCGAGAGAAGAAAGAGGGAGGGGAGGGGGAGGGAGAAATCTTTAAAAATTCTTCAAATGCAATTTTCGTGAAGGCCACGTCACCGGTTTCGTGTCTGACGCCACCCCCGGAAATATCGGCGACGATTCATGCGATCGAGCCATCGTCCTTCGGGGTTCAGGATGCCTCGAATCAAACCGACGCGCCCGAGGACGCCGAGGAGCAAAAGCAGGAGGCTCTCGTGAAACAGGAGCAGAACCTGAGTCCCTGTCAGGTCACGTCTCAGACGGGGACGAATCTAGCCGCCGCGAATTTCGAGATCGTGCCGTCGCCGACGGAGAGAATCTGCAACGTCGTCAGAATCACGACGACCACGACCACGGTGAATCCGACCGTGTGCGGCATCGTAACCAAAGTAGACAAGGCGGAGAACACGATCATCAACATGGCTGATTGCGCCAAGTACTCGACGAAAGACGGGAGGAGCCTCGCGAGGGTGACCGAGCACGAGGCCCGTGTCGACGAGGAAGTTTGCAAGGACGACAAGCCAACGTCTATCTGTAACAGGGGCGGCAGGATCGGCGCTAGAATCATCGAGATCACCGAAGAGAACTGTGATAGCTTCCACGAGAATCTGGAATTTTTCGCGAGGAGAAGAGACGTAGATCAGCGCGATCGAGATGATTATTCCAAGGATGAGGAGAACGTGCAAGAGCCCAACATTCATGAAAAAGAGGTAAGCTTTAAAGTTGCGCATAACGCGAATTTTGTGTAATGCGTTTTATTTCTGGATATTTATTCTGGATCTTCGGTCTGTATAAAATAATATCTAATATTGTCTTACTTTTCAGATCGATTCGAAGATCACCGACGCCTCGGAGAACGTCGAAGTTCACCAAACGTGTCTCAAAATGCCGGAACCACCAAGAGACGTCAAAGAAACGAAGTCAGACGTAGCCGACTCGACGGAATCGCTGAAGGTCAATTGCGAGAGCTGCGACAAGAACCGGAATACCTCGAACGGCGAAACCCGGTCTCAGATCACGGTTAAGTCTTTCGACATGCCCAACATTGATTGCGACGATCAAGACGTGCAACAAGTGGCCATCAAGCAAGAGACTGAGGACAATTGCTACGAAGTGTGTTACGAATCGTCCCAGTGTGAGCCGACGTCCACCAGCGAGCGATCCAGATCCAGCTGCGAGAAATCGTCGCAGGAAGCGACGAAGAGACACTCGGTGGAAAAGGCCCACCATCCGGGCATCGAGAACGTGGTGGAGAAGCTGAAGAAGAATGCGGCGGCTCTGCAAGAAGCCGCGTTACCTCCAAAGATCGAGGAAGTGAAAAAGTCGAACGTGGAGATCGTCAAGCCGCGAAGACACTCCGAGACGATACCGAAGAAGCTGCATCTCCTGAGATCTTGCCAAAACTCTCTGGAGAGTGGCATAGTTGACACCGAGGTCTCCTCCTCGCAAACTGCAATGTCGGAGCAACATGCTAAAGACCAATCGGAACGATATTCGCCTCAGAACAGGCATCCGAGCGGCGACATGTCCGCAGGCAAGTGCCTGCTTGGCGAAAATAACAACGATAGTAGGAGCAACAACAATAATATCAGGACTTTCGAAGATAAGAAACTGCTCGCGAAAAATGAGAAGAATGTTTACGATATTACCGCCTACGTCAAGCCCAAGACTGTCTGGCGCTGCGAAGTGCAACCACTCGGGAAGTCTAATGCGATTCGTAAATCCGATCAGGTTGAGGACGCGTCTTCGGAGACAAAATCTAAGATACAGAGGCAAAAGCCAGCTATCGACGTGAGCGGTCTCGAGTTGCTATCGAACAGCATCGAACAGTTGGAGCAACGAGTCGGCCAGCCGGAACATTCACAATTGGACGCGGATCCCGAAAAGTCATCTGTGAGAAACAAACTGATAAGACAGCAGAGTGAGAATAATAATAATAACGTCGGCAGTTCCCTCGGCTTGCTCTGCGCGCTGGCCGAACAGATCATGGAGGTGGATGACAAGATCCCTCGGAAATTAAACCTCGAAAGTTCGGAGGAAATCTCGCATGCCGGTAGATTACTGTTGAATCTGGGCAGAAGCAGCTCTCTCGAGAAAAATGAAAATAAGAGGAAATATGTTGAGACCGATGATCACCGTTCCAAACGATTTAAGCACGATGATCACGAAGAGGAGATGAAGGATGCGTCGCCGAATTATCATGAAAAAGATATTCAAAGACAAACGATGGAAATTGATGAGAGAAAACAAAAAGATACTTTCTCGAAATCGAGAGAGAGTGTTAAGAGTATCGATTTCGAGGTAGGAGACAATAAGATCGTTGATGAGAAAGCCGTCGGTTCGGAAGGACAATTTCTCAGAGGCGATAAAAATAGTTACTCCAACGCAAAGCTTGTTAAAGACCTCCAAGTTTCCTCGGACGAGGCATTTAATGATATACAAAGTACCGATACTATTGCGAAAGAAGATAATCTGTCGGACTCGGAGAGCGAAATTTTCGAATCGAAAATCCTGTCCGAACGGTTGACGAGCTGCGAAATTAAAGATAATAAACGTAAATTATCCGTCGAAGAGAGAGACACGAAAGACGTCCACGACTACAAAAACGCACGGACCAAGTTGGAAGCGAAGAAGTTCATAGCCAGGAAAGGAAATCGCGATAATGATGACGACTGGCCGTGTATGAACGCCACGGAACTCGACATGAGAGCCAGGATGGCCTATCTTCAGAAACAATACAAAGAGAAGCGGAAGGAGCTTTCCAAGCTGAATTTTCCCAAGAAGGATGACAAGAAGACCTCTGGTAGGCCACGGAAGAAGAGTCATTCTTCTATTAGGTAAGTATAAATTCGAAGCGATAAATTAAATTACAGAGAATTCGACATTTTTAGAACGTGGCGAATTTGCTAAGCTTATCCGAATAATTCAACTATTAATGAACGTTTCAGTTCCGATCACGGGACGCTGTCATCACCACCTTCATTGGATCTTATGAATTCTCCGTCGCGAAAATCACCCACGAGATCGATGGAATCGCCAGAACCTAGCGCGCACTCGCCGTTAGCTTCAGCTGTTCTAGCAATGCCGAGGTGCAACGTGAATCTCGTAAAGCTCGGAGAACCCAGGAGTCATATAAAGCTTTTGGACAGCATACCCAGTATCCCGATATCAGTGCCGCCGGTGACGTCACCGATCCCAGTGTTACCTGGTTCCAGCAAAGCAACAACAGAAGACGATGAGAAAAGCACGGGAACGGTACATAAATTAATTAATTAATATCAATTTTCTATGTAGCTTTATATATTTCTTTAATCTATTTGTTTTCTTTTTTTAAATCGTATTATCTAACTTATAAAAAGAATGATAATCTAGAAATTTTTAAATAAATGTGATTCTCCATTTATTAATCTTTACTTTCGATTTTTCAGCTGGGCTACGATACGTCATCGCCAGCACCGACTGTCGCAAGTTCGACTTCCGCCTCCAAGAAGAGGAAAGTAGGACGACCACGAAAATTCACGTGCACCTCGGGCAGTGCCAGACATCTGACGGAGACAATCGTCGCTAAGAAACCTAAGAACAAGAGTTCTCTGGTGGGATACGTGCTATCCTCAAAGAACAGACATTTGCAAACGAAAGTAAGTTGCTAAGATTTATTTCTTTTAAATTTCTAAATGTTTACCATATATCATTAATTATAATACAACCGCCGATATGTACAATCGCCACTGCAATAAGTATAAATTTTCAGCAATGTATAAATAACAAAACCGACTATACCCCGTTGCCATTTAAATCTGGAGTCTCCTCTCCAAAGCCACAAACTAAGATACAAAAAGTTACAAAAGCGAAAGCAGAGGCATCGAAGCAGACTTCGCTGCACAATAAGAAGGTCATCAGTTCGATCATTGCTAAAAAAGCAAAGCTAAGTCAAGAAGTGAAATTTGTGAAATATAGCGGTAAAATAAAACCGAAACTTAAAGCGGAGGTGATGGTAAAAAATTGGGAGGACGACGAAAATGACACGGTGCAAACTGAAAATGTTTCCAAAGAACCCGCAGTTCAAAAATCAGTCGAGGTAATAAATTCCTATACTTTTTCGCCAATTTTCATATTTAATTTCACAAAAATAAATAGTAAAAAGATTTACCAAGAATTTTCTACAAAATTATAAGTTTCTAACTAAGTCCGCATTTTTTTTTTTATAAAAATAGGTAATTCTAAAAAAATTAAAATAGAAATCTCATAATTATTTTATTATTCAATGTAAATATTAAATAAAATAGTAATTAATAAACATAAGTTACATATGCAATTTTTGTTTACACCGAAATTGCCGTTTTATAGATAAAATTGAAAAAAAGTTAGTACGAAATAAGGAATAAGAAATATAATAATCCTGAAATTTGATCAATCAGGAGGCACCGATAGAATCTGCAGAACAGATAGAGCCAGAGAAGGAGCCAGAGAAGGAACTAGAGAAAGAGCCAGAAAAATCGCGACATGAAAAGTCGAAGAAGAAGAAACGAAAGTCCAGTTCATCGCAATCGCCAAATCGCGATAAGAAGGAATCTAAACGGCGCAAGTCCTTGGAATGCAAGCAATGCGCCAAGGCAGCGAAGATTACCGAGAACATCGTTAACCGATGCAAGTTGACATCTGATCATCTGGATATCGACCAATTACGAGTGCTCATGGCGATGGGTGGCCTCTTCTACGCAGGCAAACTGAGCGCTGTGCAACCACCTGACGTTTATGCTATCACACTAGACGGTGAACGTGGAAACAAACCGCACATTCACTCCAGAGAGGAGATTCTCAAAGATGCGGTAATAAACTAAGACTCGATTAGACATTCCGATTCTGCGAACAAGTACAAATCACTTCGCTTTAACCCGTTGCCTTTATAATTTATATTACTACAGAGTATGTGTTAAACAAGACAAGCTCAAACAAGGGATGGATTGCAATCTAAATTTAATAAATACAAGCCTAATCGTTCGTAATTCTACAATGTTCTGGCCAAGTATGAAATTATTTCAATCGATTTTGGTATGCAAAATTTATTTAAATAATTAGAAGGCAATGAGTTTACACACATGCGAATAAACGTTAGAATTTTTTAAAAAAGTGTAAGAAAAAACAATTTTGCTGAAATATCCAAACATTTGGCCAGATATAGGTTTGAAAATAATTTTATGGAACCATTTTATAATTTTATATAAAAGTTAAAACTATTTGCTTTCACGTCTTGGCTTTTTAACCAATACACGTTCTTACTCACAACTTTCTTAATAAAAGACTGATAAATTGAATCCAATAGAAAACAATAAAAAAATAAATATTTCTTCTTATAAAACAAAATACGAAAAGTATATATAATAAAATAATCTAACACTATTTTGTCCTACAGATTGTTGAAGTGTGTCCCACTTCAACGAAAGAGCTACCACCTGGTACGAGACTGTGCGCGTATTGGAGCCAACAATATAGATGCTTATACCCGGGAACTTCCGTGAAGCCGATGGTACCTGACCCGCAGCACGATGAGAAATTCGTCACCGTAGAATTCGACGACGGGGACAGCGGTTTAATTGTCTTGGACGACATCAGACTCTTACAGCCTAATTATCCTGTTGTGGGTACGTGTCTATGCGTATCGATATTTGAAAATTTAAAGCTTAGCTCCTATCATATGATAAAAAATCAAATTTACTTTTATTTATATTTTTATCTACAGTATACGATCCGAATCCTCTATTGTCGTTGGGTAAACGACGACGACAGACATCAACTTCGGAAGACAAGCATTCGACAAGCAATCGCACCGTTTCACCGAACAGTCAAACCATTCTATCAACTTCACGAAATGTAGTAGCTAGCAACAACAGCTTTGCCACGTGTTCCTATATGTCCAATGTAGAATCGACAAATGTCAACGAATGTGTCGATGCGGAGACCGAAACGAATGTCGAAACGAGCAGTACGAGTGGTACGGAATATCGCAAAAAGAAACACATGAAGAAAATAAAAAAGAATAGAAAGCTATTCGAGGCACAAGAAGGCAAGAAAAAGCACAGAAAACACAAGGTCTTGTTAAGGAGGACACCCGAAAAACAATAAACAATTAGAAAACAATCGGTAAGGACACAAACAATAGACATCATGGCGAGACAATTTGGGTTGATGCCGAATAGTATAAGGTATGTATATATATATATATATATATATTGGCACAATCAATACGCTTATATTTTACATAGCAAACTGTAGAAGATAAAAAAGTTTTATTTGTTACGTGCAATGCATGAAATTGAAATTTAAGTTCATGTAATTATTGCAATTCATAAAATTTATCTTAAATATGAAATTAAAAATTAATCTCATTTTCGCTCGAGCAACATTATTGGTTGGCAAAACGTTGGCCAGACGTAGCCAATATTGTTGGCTGACAGTTTGCTAATTAATATGTGCTATTTGAAAAGCTTTTTAACGTTTTTAATAGAAACGTTGAAATGTTTTTTTAGCAACCGGGAAAACAACTGGGAGCAGAAAAACGAGGGAGAAGCAATTACAAATTTGCCGAATGCAAGCTTTTCCACTACCGAGGAGACGAGACTGTCCGAGGAAGATGATGAAACTGAAGAATCGGTAGTGCCTGCTCAGAAAGATAACGCGGCGCAAATAGAACTTGAAGAACTGTCAGAATCAGTCAGCCAGAAAGACGATGAAGTTCGAACGATATCTGAAGAACCGTCGGAACCGTCTGTTCAGCAGATTCAAGTAGAGCCTGAAGAAGAAGAGCCCATCCAGCAGACTCAGATAGAACCCGAAGAATTGTCAGAACCCGAACAAGTTGATGAGGCTCAGATAGAACCTGAAGATTTCTCAGAAGATATCCAAGCGAACGATGAAGAACCTGAAGAACCTGAAGAACCGCCAGAAGAACCGTCGGTCGAGAAGAAGCTGAAGAAGACGTCAACGAATCGCGCATCGACGACTCGCGCTTCAGCAAGTCAAGTTTCTGTCAATCGCAGCTCGATCAGCCGTACCTCGACGAGCCAAGCGGTTCCTGCTTCAGCAATTCGCGGTTCCACGAGTCGCGTCTCGGCGAATCGCGTCTCGGCAAGTCGCGCAACGACGAACCGCGCCGTGACGAGAAACGCTTCGACGACACAACAAGCTTCGACGAGTACCGGCACCGCGAGTCGCGGCTCTAAGAACCGCGCCTCCAACTCGACGACCGTAGCCAACCCGTCGAATCCCATCGAGACTCCCAGTCCAATAGCCCGTATGCTGCCTAATAAACGCCACTGGAAATGGGCGAGCAACAGTCGCGTCTCTGGCGGCAATCAATATTACACGGCTATACGACGCGGCAGGGAGAAGATAAATATAGGCGACAGCGTATTATTTTATTCCTATCGCAAACCTCACGAAAAGCCTTACATCGGCAAAATCGTGTCACTGTGGCTGAATCAGAAATCAGAAATGAGGGTCAGGTCCCAATGGTTTTACCGTCCAGAGGAGCTGCAACCGCCCTGCACTTTAAACCCTCCGGTAATTTTTTTTCATGTAATAATGTAAGGAACAAAAGCTAAACTCGAATTTTCAAAAGCATTATTATAAAATCATTTTCTATAGCCATAATGTTAAAGTTATGTCAATTAATGTTAAAGATAAAAAAATTATACAAATTTATTTTTATATTTTATATGATTTTCTTGTAAGTATTTCGCTGTTTACAAGAAAAATATATAATATGTATTTATATAATATAATATAAAATATATATTTATATAATTTTGTGACTTATATAACGATATACGGCTGCAGTGTGAGTAAATGTCAATTTCTATCAGTATCTATTTATTTTAATCTCAATTTAATTTACTCTTTATCCTTCTCTAATTCACAAAATTAAAAAACAGATAAAAAGTAAATTAATCTATATTGATAGAAGTAAACATAAATTGAAAGTGGAAACTTTTCTAAAAATTTAATTTTACAATTAACTACAGTAAAATTTTACAATTAATTACAATAAAATTTTATAATTTTACAATTAGCTCGATATTGAGAATTAAACGATAGCAAAAAAAATAATAATTTCTTATTTGCAGGGCGGTCTGTTCGAATCGAAGCATAGCGATTCAAACGACGTGCAAACGATTTCTCACAAGGTAATGGTGCTACCACTTGAAGATTACAATAAAATATTGCAAGCATCGCACAGACATCAAAAAGGCTACGAGGATAACGATCCTTACTATTACTATGCCGGCTTCTATACGCATCCAACGGTAACTTATGCACCCGGAGTTACGGCTGTTCTAAATGAATGAGAACAGCTTAAGCTGACGATTAAGTTAGCCGGAATTACTTAATCGCGGTCAGCTGACAACTCTGCGAAAGTTTCGATGCGATAACCGTTTGAAATGAACGGTC